TATATATATATATATATATATATATATATATATATATATATATATATATATATATATATATATATATATATATATATATATATATATATATATATATAAATGTTTTCCTTCTAAACTCTAAACCTTAGACCGTTACACCTTAAACTCTAAGCGCGAAAAGGGCAATGGGAACACACAGTGTTTGCCGTATTTTGTCAGAAAGACTTAAATATAGTCATATAATTCATCCTTGTGCATACAACCAAAATTTACGATGCAGAGTGTTCCCATTGCACTTTTCGCGCCTAGTTATAGTTTATAGGTCTAAGGTTTAGAGTTTTGAATTAGATTTATTAAATTTATACGACTGTAATACTTTGAGCATATATTTTTCCGGAGAAAATGGCCTGCATTCGAACTAGTAAATGTTTCAGTACTGAGCATGCTCTATTTTAAATATATGTTGTAAATATATACTGTATATGCATGCCATTAAAAAAGCTGTAGTTTCTACACAATACGAAAAGCCCTTATGAGTTTAATCTTTGCTCTCTCTGTCATTGATGAAACCGCACAATGTTATAACCATAACAGCTATTATTCATAAAACAGGTTTGGTGGGAAATATTGATGCGCCTTGACATTCGTGCAAAATTGCGCGTTTCATTAAGCTATATAGGCACTTGAGTACAAGCTGTTTATGTAATTTGGATAATTGCAAATAATTTTATAACCTCGAGTTCTCGTAAACCAGGGAGAGCTAGGAAATTCAATTATATGACAAACTAATATAGATCGAACGGTTACACACATGCAAGCATCATAATATTATAGTGTGCGTTTTTGCAGAAAAAAAGAATAACCGCAAAAGTACATCAATATGCATGAAGAACGGTTTTATATGGATTATATTGAGCATTGCATGTTCTTAACAGCAATGAGTTATTTATATCCTATTCCGAGTAGCCGTCTAATAATAGCAGCAACTTTCCAAACTGCTTTCATGGTTAAACAAAGAAAGACAAAGAAAGACAAAGAGTTATTATTTTGTTGATTGGCAATTACAGCGACTGTTACGTGATACGAAACCGAATTTCTCGCCTTAAGAATTTCAAATTAATAAACCGGGATGTTTCTCTAGGTCGAGGTTAATTTTTGGAGCCATGTACGTGGGGCCAAGTAAAACGACTTGAATTAGTTATTAGTACACTAATGGCTAATATGAGCTAATTGAGATCTTCCCGCATTATTGAAGAGCATTCATGGGGCCATCTACCCTGGTTAATTGCCATGCAGAGGTTCTCGTATCTTTCGCCTTTTACAGCTAATTCAAAAAAGGTTGTCCTTCCAAACTCTAAACCTTAGACCTTAAACTCTACGGGCGAAAAGTGCAATGTGAACGCTCTCCATCGTAAATCTTGGCTGCATGTACGGACAAGGATTAATCATGAGACTTAAAGCCTTTCTGACCGAAACGTCCGAAACCGGCAAACACTGCGGCTCCCATGCAAGTACCTAAAATATCGAACATGGATCAAGATGGCCGCATGAATACTCTTCAAACATGCCGGAAGATCTCAAGCTTGTGATAGTTATTATTGTATATTACTAACTCAAGTAGTTGTATTTGGCCCAACACCTCAAGCATGTTATACAGTGAAACGCAATAAGCAGCTTAACGGCTGATACAATTTTTCATATAGTTACTGCATGTACCTTCTACCATGACTCCACGTGGCTTCAAAAAACTTGAACTAGATAAAAATCGTGGTTAATTAAGTTGAAATTCTGAAGACGGGAATTCGGTTTCGTATCACCCAACAGTCGCTGTAATTGTACTGTATATCAACAAGTCTTAGTTGTCTTTCTGCATGCATGTGTATATCAATTTTAAAATATCGGAAATTGATCAAGAAAGCCCCTGCCCTGCTTGGTTGCAAGAGGTTCTCGCATCTTTCGCCTTATTCCCGCTCGTATTTACAGCTATTTCAATTGAGGTTGTCCACAAGCAAAGAGGAAAAGTCGAATACGAACGCGAAAGGCTGCTGGGAATCGTTAACAATTTAATGAATTTTCAAAGCGGTTCCCATGCAGCAGCCTTTCGCGCTGGTATTCGACTTTTTCGCTTTGCTCGTGGACAACCTTAATTGAAATAGCTGTACACAGCTAATTCAAAAAAGGTTGTCCCTCAAAACTATAAACCTTAAACCATAAACTCTAAACGCGAAAAGGGGATATGCTGTGTTGCTCAAGTTTACCTAGTTTGCTATAAAGTCTAGATTGTTATAATAATTAATAAATCATACAAACAGCCTTAACTGGGACTTAACATTGATAAGCAGACGTTTCAAAATATATCTAGTGTTATAGTGCAGCTAGCTTGTTTTGTTAATATGTTTTTTATGTGAATGTCGGCATTTTAATGCCGAATGTGCTTATTGCATTCATCGAAATGTTATCAAATATCGTGATAATTTCCTAGACGACAATCACGATATGATTCTAGTATCACCCAATTCTAGTTCGTGCAGACGTCGTGTTGTTTGTGTCTGTTGCGTTTGTCTGTTGGGACATCGCGGGTAATATTCACTGGATGTGATGCACACTGAAAGTGATGACATTGTTTGTTACTCTGGTGACTGGCTCGGCGGTTTATGAAACGGAAATTAGCAGCAAGCACCTGTTGCATGTACTGTACATTATAATTCATTCTAGAAATGCTGTACATCTATATATAGATAAATTATGCAAGATAGGTTTTATAAAGTGGTTCTACTTAGCAGCGTCTGGACAAACATGTCGAAGGCCAAAACAATTCAAAGTTTTCGTACATTCGAACTAGAGTAGCTTGACAACGTTTGGGAATAGCCTAAGCTGTTTCTTTGTATTTTAATGTATTTTCAACATATTTTACTATTATTGATATCATGATTTTCACAATGCAAATTTTGGTTTTGATCAATCGTCATAGTCACGCACTATAGCCTATATAAGAAAGAAAATAAATTTGGCAAACACAGAAATGTTGCACTGTATATCTGCATAAGCACGACAAAATTTTGATTACATAGACTATTGTCATGTTTACAAAGCAAACTTTTAACTGTAATCGGCGTGCTTTCGTCTCTTGGCTTTACCACAAAGCTTGCATTACTGTAGGCTTGCATTACTGTAGGCTTGCATTACTGCAGGCTAGGCCACAATTTGTTAATATTAGCGAGCTTAAGCTTCGCGTTATACGGCAAACGCCATGCAGGCGGAGAAACATTTTACGGTAACAGGCAATAAAGAGCAAATTAACTTGCTGTTTTAAAACTGGAATGTACGATTATTCTTTCGGCACAAGAAAGAAAATATGAAACGAAAACTTTCAACGACAATTTTGCCAAGAAAATTCGAACCTGCCGTTTGCCGCTCCCGGGCGCGAAGCTTAAAGTTAAACTCCCTATTAACAAAATGAACGGCCAAGATGGAACGAGCGATTATAAACAGTACGCAGATTAAATTATTTTATTAAGAAATAATTGCAGACTAGAGAATAACAACTATAGTATCAAAATAATAACATCTTGTCCTTCTGGCTATACCACCCATCAGTTGGAGTGTTGCTGGTTATTTTTGACAGCTACTCGGAATAGCCTAATTCAATATAGCTTAATTTAAATAATTGTGATCAATATAATCTCTCCAAAAACTCCTCATGTGATATCAGAACGACAAACAAAATTGCCCGACATGCAATTACACAAAGTGTTAAAAACTTCCCATAATTTCTGTCAAACCCAGGATAGATTGTTTATTTCATATAAACATTGCAGTCAATAGGATGAATTACGGTTATATTTACAAGTTAAGAAAATATTAAAATATTATACACCAAATGTCTATAAGAATCTAAGAATATTCTAACAATTTTACGAGGAATAATTTAATTTTTATTTAATGCATTATGTATAATAAAACTATTTTTACCCGAGAAGGTCAGTGAAACCGGCAATGGATATTGGTTGCGTGATGTTGCCAGAAGTTATGCACGCACGGTTTTGGAGAGATTAATTGATCGCAAGTTATTAAAAAAATTACGTTATTCTATTTCGATTACCTGCCTGGCTGTGTAAGAACTAATAGCAACACTCCAACCGACCGGTTCGGGCACATATTCCGCATTTTCCGCAAAAGGGTAAAAAATTGTTATAGCATTACCGCATTGTATAATACTTATTTTAAGGATTGTTATACCTTGAACGAGGTAAAGGTTACGGAAAACAATATGCAAAAAAATATGGATAAGAGTTAGCTCAATAAAATCAACATAATACTAGCAATTAAGGCTGACGCTAACTAACTGTTATACTATCTAATATAGTCATAATCTCGACACTGAGCGAGCATTGACGTTGCATCAAGACTTGTCTTGGCTTTCACTGTGTTAGTGTAAACAGATTTTAACCGAGCCTATGCCAGACTTAGGCCTGGGCCCATTGAGATCGTTGTCGTAGCCCTGGCGAACAGTAATCTGAGCTTTGTGACAAAGTGAAGAGAGGAAACTACGATTACATTTGCCTGGCCTCGCTTATATATGGTTCATGTCAGGCTAAATTAAAGTTTCCTTTATAAACATGAGAATATTCTATACGGTCTATAGGGAGCCACGTCTGTATTTCATTCACGTGATTATGTCTGGTGTCTACCACTGAACAGTTGTGTAAATCAGAATATATTTTTCTTGATGTTAATGAAGAAACATTTTCCTACACCCTTGCACACAAAAATGGTTAGAGGCTATATATGTTTTGCCATATATATGTAAGATGATACTGTAAATAAAGTAATGTAAAACAGGCATGCTATATGAAATCTAATCAGAGCGAGCGTGCACCCTGAGAGAGAAGGTTGCACATGTAAGAAGTTATGAAATTAACTGCTAAAACCGAGTACCGAGTGTGTTATTTTACGGTGCCTCGCTACGTTACAACTGGTGGCAGCGGTAAGATAATAAAAAAAAGACGACGTCAACGAAAATGGCTTCGAGCATTCTCCCATCCAAATTCGATGGAGACGATATTGTCGCATGGCTAAGAGAGTTTGATGCGTGCGCTTTAGCCAATGGTTGGAAAGACGAGGACAAAATTGAGAAATTGCCAGCGTTTCAACGAGGACGCGCAGCTACACATTTCTACGCAACCCCTGTCGCTGAAAGAACTACATACGACGCCGCAACAAAAAAGCTAAAGCAAGCCCTGTGTCCGCCAGTTGAGAGGGAAATCTATTACGCAAAATTTGAAACCCGAATGCTTCGCACTGGTGAAGATCCGTCGGTTTACATGTGGGAGTTGGAACAACTTCTAGAAAAAGCCGACCCCGACCTCGCTGTAGGAGCCAAATCTGCCCTTACAAAAATTTCACATAACATTTCATATATGAAAATTTCATATATGAAATCGTTATATGGAATTGAAACAAATTTCATATATGAAATAGTTTCAATTCCATATAAAGATTTCATATATGAAATATTTCATGTATGAAATTTTCATATATGAAATTGTTTCAATTGCACATAAAGATTTCATATATGAAATATTTCATATATGAAATTTTCATATATGAAATTGTTTCAATTCCACATAAAGATTTCATATATCAAATATTTCATATATGAAATTTTCATATATGAAATTGTTTCAATTCCACATATAAAGACTTCATATATGAAATATTTCACGTATGAAATTTTCATATATAAAATTGTTTCAATTCCACAAAAAAATTTCATATATCAAATATTTCATATATGAAATTCCACATTAAGATTTCATATGTATGAAATTCTCACATGTTTCAAATGTTCAAATATTAAGTTTTATGCATTGAAATTAAGGGAGTCAGGGGAAGTTTATGTGATCCCACCCGAGATTAAACAAAGCGAGCAATGGCTTTGAGGTATTGAAATAAGTCCTTATGAAACCAGACAAGCACATGCTAACAACAGACTAAATATAGATCAATGCAAAAAAATATATTCGCAAGAATTAGTGCCCAACAATTACATTTTGCCCATTCGATTTTTCTACAGAACAAAATCCAAAGCCACCTGGATCATGTTATTTTTCCTTATCATTAACAAATCACTTATTTCAATACCTCAAAATCATTGCACGCTTCGTTTAATCTTGTGTAAGCGGGAGCATATGAACTGCCCCTCAGAAAAATCTACCTATAAATAAGAAAGTTATGTGCTATGCAGGTTTGATGTACCCCATCAGACACAAGTTTATTCGAAATATACAAATTACAAAATAATAAAAAACTTAATTACAATTTACATATATTTACTCTCGGTTACAAAAAAATCCCAAATTTTGTGTGATTTCGAGGAAATTATCCATTTGGGACATTTTTTGATACATCCTGTATATGCATTACTTGACTAAAAGCATGCAGAAATAAAAAATCAG